TGAAATATAAATAGGTTTAATCCAATTCAAATATTCTTACAACTAAAAACAAATTTAAATTACAGTTGATTAAAATTAAGTATTGACAATGAAATAATTTAAATACGAGCTCGTACTAACACTTTATAGACTATTTTCAGAACATTCTGGCGATTATTGAACTTTGTATAGCTGCTTATCGTTAATTGTAATTTTTGAGCTTTTTTTTAGTTTTTATTTGGATGTATTTGAATAACATTTTCTTGGATTCATTCCTCCTAGGTGTTTTTATAAATTATAATCAATAATTACACTATACAAATATCAAAACAATTGGTTTTTGATTACCCGCATTGAGAAATCCTGGCTATACCACCGCCAAGGGATTTTAACACGAGTTTCGTCAAAATTCGTACTTCGAGCAATTGTGTGAAGAAATATGTGACTAATGATTGACTTGTGCAGCTATTTTGAGACGTTCTGGTCGTAAATATAAATTCAAATAAAAAAAAAAAAATAAACAATATTGTCTTTAAATAGAACGTGACCGAATAATTGTTTGAACCCTGCTATTATAAAGTATTGTTTGTCGAAGGGAGAACAAAACGGGCTTACCTAGTTATCCACTCAATTATAATAATTTCGAATAATCGATATCACGACTAAAATGTGACGTAAATCTATCGTGGGAATCTATGGTAAAAAATGCATTTTTAAACAAACGGACGTACTTGGCACGATGGGTGGACCACTGTTGTAAATGAGGAGATGGAAAAGTAGAGGAGAAATTCAATGTTTATCTGTATACAACGATTAATCATTGTTAACGGAAAAGGAGTTCGGTTACACATATTGTGAAACGACGTATTATTTACGATTTTAAAATAATATATTTCGTAAATTTTCTCGTTTTTTTTGAGTTTTTTCCCAGTTTTTCTCATTTATTATGAAAACCCCTAGGATAATCAACAAATTATCTCCTGAAAGTACCACATCAGTAAAATCCACTTCCAGGTGATACACCTGAAAATCGGAGCTAATTACAGGTAGAAAAGTTGTCTCAAAAAAAGAAATTAAATAAACATCATTGTAAAAACCAATACATTCCTCGCTCCACTCAGAATCTAAAAAAGAAACCTATTAAAATAAGAGTTTTTCAGAAACCAGTGAAAAAGTACATAATTCTAAAAATGATCTCCGACTACTAAAAATAAACAAAAATTCGCGAATTATGGTAAAAAACGCAGGCGTCATTCATAACCTCACACTTTCCATAAATCACTTTTGCACATTTTTTCTCGTTATTTAGTATCCTTAAAGAGTTGACTGTTCAGAACCGCACACTTTTGATTGATACTTTAAAAACTCTGCGGTCATTCAAACAATAACCCAAACATTTTTATCTAAAATCAAATTATCGTTTACAACCACACTCCAGTTAATTAAAATCGAAAATGTATAATATACTTTTGGGATGGTTCGTATTTACCAATAGTTTATCAAAATATGTTCATAATAAAATAATAGCTATTACCACTCCAAAAATGTTTTGAATACAACTTTGAAGTTGGACTTTGTTTTAATTGAAATTTGGCCAGATTATTTTTGTTTTATAATTTATAAGTATCGATATTTTAATTAGGTAATATAAATAATAATAATATCTTAAGTATTAAAATATTATGTAAAATTATATAATAATCAAATAATAACTAACATTATAATAATATTTTGAAATATATTTACCTCATGCAACCAGATATGATAATTTATCATATTTGATACATTCGTCACCGAATTGTTTATCAATAATAAACAATTCGGTGACGAAACAGTAACAGGTTAAAAATTTGTATGGTATTAATAAAAAAATGTGCAGAATTGAACGACCTTTTTCTGAATGTGTGCATTATGATAACTGCGAAAAATTCAAAATCAGCAGTATTGTATTATTATACAGTTTCTGCTTAAAAACCACATTTGAAAAAAATTATTTTTTTTTTAAAAAAAAAATCTACAATAATAATATATGAGCCGATAAATAAAATAGTTTTTAACTTTAATATTTCACTCATAATAATTGTAGACAAACGCTAATAGTATAGGTAGTATAGATACTAGATTACACTCACCGGCGACAAATTAACTTCAGTATTTTTTCTTTTTTTCTCGGTTTTACTCTTTTTTTTCGAGACGCCCATTACTACGGATCTCAGAAGTACGAACTGTTACGAATAATTTACCGATTGAAAAATTAATGAGCTCGAAACGAATCTGTTCGTTTTTGAACCGTTCCAACGGACACGTTTTAAAAGTTTATTCGGATACAAGGAAAATAGTTTAAAAAAAAAAAATAATAATGAAAATAAAACTACAAACAATCGACAGAAAAATCAAAAACAATTTTAAACATTTCTGTCGAATAAATTGGACCATAGGTAAAAATATACGTGATTAAACGTGAAAATAACTGTTTTGGCATAGATGCATTTCTATCGATATGGCGACAGTCTCGACATAGAGACGCTTCCACAAAGATCGTATATTATATTGAACGATTTTATCGGTCCCGTTCCCGTAGATTGATGTAAACAATTTTTTTTTTCGGTTATAAACGTGTATAGAGCAAATTCACGAGTGTAAACGTTTGATAACAGAAAAATTATTAGATATGTCCGTTTAGCAAAACTTCGTTACAATTTACAAACGTTAATAAACTTCATTAACGCTGACAGACGTTTTCTGTTTTTTCAGTAAGTAACCAACCTAGATAGTTATAACCGAAAATATGATTAACAACAGCCATTATTTTTTACTCGGGTCATGTGCATTTAATAATTTAATAATTATTCCTCGTGATAAAATGATTTTCAAGTTGTTATTTTTATCGAATTTTTTCTGAAAATATAGAGACTATTGCTCTGTATTGTGTCTGTTGACTGTTATATAAATATATATATATATACATATTTTCCCATTACTTATAGCTTTCATATATTATAAATCACATTGTTGTACAGGATGTGTAGTTATAAGGTTTTAATTACTACCCTCACCGTACAATATAAATGCATCAGAAAAAATCTCGGAAACCACTTTATCTATTTCTTTAAAAAAAAAAAAATTAAACTTGTTAATAGCAACAAGCAGGCTGGGGACAAATTCATATCTAATAACGGAGCTCTCCTGTTAGCGTTTTTTATTTTGTTTTACAAGATGTTTACTGATATGTTTTATTGTCGTAACGATATCTGTCGAATTTCGAAGTTTTAAACGGTTTGCCGCTTATGAATGTCCGCATAGATATGATTCTTCTAAAGCGCTCGTATTTTCACTAAGTACACTTAGTATTTTCTAAATGTGATATAGGTACTTATAATTTTGGTTAATTTTGATTATTTCTATAATTATCTAGAATGAAATAAGAATCATCATAGGTTGCTCACACTGATCAAAATATAAACGTTGAGTATAAATTCGTACGTCACAATTGTTTAATGTTATAAATGACCAATGTTTAAAACTCGTGTAAAAATCAATAATCTGCGTAAGCAGTCATTTACGATTCGATAGAAAATCGTAAATAAAACTAGTTATTGTTGAACAGAAAATCAAATTGCAATAAAGGGTGAATCTAGAAATTATAGAACTAAAGAAAAGTAATTGTCGAATAACGTATCGCTGAGCAAAAATCCGGATCTTTTACGGTACCTATCTACCTGTATATATATATAAGGTATAAATAAAACATCTGAGCATTTTTGCTGACCGAAAGTGTTTTTTCAGAAATACTATACATAATACTAGCTTCGATATTGCACTCGGAATCTAAAACGAAATTTTTTTTTTTTTTTAAAACCTGTAGCCCAGCCTACGGTAAATCGGTCTTACGGCGAATTCACGGCTAACCGAAGAAGAATGTTCGGTATCGGAGGCGCCACGCGCCAGTGTAAAAGAACGACGATGACCGCGACAGTTTCGACACGTCCGCGACGATCGCATTAATAAAAAAAAAAAAACTGCAAAAAAAAAAAAAAACCATGATAATATAATATTGTTATATTATAACGACATTATTATTATTATCATTATTATATTATTATTGTGTACACGCGAGTCGCTTAACGCGATTAAATTCAGCAGTAGTAGCGTAACGATCGAATTCCGGGCGGTCGGGTGTGGAGGCGTATATAATACATACGTATATATGTATATATACGTATGGCCGGCGTTATTGGGTAATCGCTTGTTTACGCGTGTTGTATATGTATATACGTATTTATGTGTATATATAAGGTCACCGATTACCTTCACCGATTTTTTTATTTTTTTATTTTTTTTTTTTTTCTCACTGATTACCCGACACTCGGTGCGATATTTTGCGCTGCTATTGTGCGAAGGCGCGCACGCGCGTATTGGTTAATAACATTATAATAATTATTCGTCTTGGCCACGCGGATTTTCGCGCCTACCTATCGTGTATTTTCGCATTCAATAATCGTAGGCACCTGTAGGTGCCTAATGGGAAAACGGCGACGGTCGGCGGAGACATGACGTATTAATTTATTATACTATTATATGTACTATATTATATCGATTGAAGGGACCTTGTTCCACAAAAAGAACGGACTAAAAACGAAAAATACACAAACGCACGCGTATAAAAGAAAATCTATCGTGTTACGCGGGCGGCGTCCGTATAGTCTAACGCAATAAGAATAAAAAAACGTAGTCGGATATTTGTAGCCGCGGACATTTGTGCTATTATTATTTGGTTGGTGCGCAGTTAAGACAAGAGATTAAGAAGTGACATGTGGCAGGATAGAATGGTTGAGGACGCTATTTCAAATAATAAAGCATATTTTGTTTTTAGTATTGGCCACTCGATTGTTTTCATAATAAAAAAAAATGTTTTAACCAAGCAAGGTCGTGAGCCCTGCATTTATTCCCCCAAACCTAGAAGCATGTGTGAACTTGGTCTCATAATGAGAATGCCATAAAACGAGATAGTTAGGGTGATAATGGAATGGGAACTCCATGGAAGAAAAGATCTCGAGGAAAACCAGGGAAAGACGGATTGGTGTGCTGAAAAAAGTTTTGAAAAGTTTGAGACGGAAGTGAGGTATTTTCAGATAGAAATAGGTGCCAAAGCATAATTATGGAAATAAAAACTAGTACTTGGAAATATAATAAAATAATTTTAATATTCGACACACGACAGAAACGAATAATACAACGATAAAATATAATTTTGGACTTTTCATAAATAATAAATCAGTCCCTAACATGTCCAGTCCATTCCAGTCCGGTTTGGTCTAGTCAGGTCTGGTCCGGTCCGATCTTAATATATTTTAACACGGTATAGTCTCGGTCTTATGTAGTTAAGAACAAAAATAAACATTCCAGTTCAATCTCATGATTTATTCTATTAGTCCGGTTTGGCCCTGGTCTTAATTTTACTTCACTGGTCCGATCCGGTCTTTATAAAACTTGACCGTGCAAAGCTATATTTCCTGCACTTATTCCTTTACAACGGGAATTTGTTATATTATTATGTACTAACTATCAGTGCTAGGGTTGTATTTTTATCGTTTTTTTTTTTATGTCCGTACGTGCGACATATTAATATCCAAAATAGAAAAGAGAGAGAGGTTGGCTACTTAGTCAAGTGGATTGTGTGACCCGTGATCAGTTTCGTTTGAGACATAATCAAAGGATTGTCAGTTGGAATATGAAGTATTAGTGAGGAAAGAAAGAACGTACAAATGAGTAGAGTGTTTGCTTACATTTTCCAAATCTTAGCTTTGGATGGTGACTGAAAAAAGCCGAATATCTGAAATATTAACGGTTTTCGCAAAATAAAAGTTCTCAGAAAAATATGTGGTTTAATTTTTGATGTTCAAACCAATTAATGGAGGAGATCATATATAATAATAAATTTCAAATTCAGTTTCAAGGACTCGATTTATAACTATATAGAGAGATAAATGATCGCTATAAAAAAAAAGATTAATACGGGCCGACCGTGCCTGGCGTAAACGGGAAAAATAAGTTAAGAAAGTGATAGAAGGAAGATCCTTTATAAGGCAAAATCTTTTTTAAACCTCAAGGTTAAAGTGAGAACATTATGTTAGACAGCTGGGAACCCAATGAAGAGAAGCTGGAGTAAACAACAGTGGCGGATTTCATATTTTGCGGTATAATGTTAAGTGCCAAATCCAGACAGAAAAAAAAACCGAGAATAAAAAAAATATGAAAATAACGAGCGATTGGAAAACCTACACTTTGAAATCTTCGTTTTATCGGCTCTTCGAAAGAAGTTGGGTAACATTTATTGTAAAACGGAATTAAATTATTCTTATTATCAGCCCGCATTTACAACTTATAGATGGGGGTTTTCTATCAGCATCTTTGGGTCATCGATCAATTCACGGCTGACGCCCGATGTTATATTGTGATAAAACTCATATTTGTTTTGTTGCCGAGTGAGGCCACTTGCCAAATCCCTTTTTTGTAGTTTTGGAGATACCTTCGAAAAATCAGTCTGCGGGCACTAAAAACTACGCAGAAAACACGAGGATGATGAAAACAAGAGAGAGAGAGAGAAATTACAAACTATGTGACGAAACTGCTGAAGAAGTTTTTTTTATTTATTTTTTTTTTTACTAATTACCTACTAGTTTACTATTTTTATTCCCGTTTGTAACGATTATTTTATTTGTTTTAATCTTTCAGACATCAACACCCTAACCCGGAAAATTTACCACAAGAACGGCACTACCGAACCCATAGAAATATATGTCAGCTACACGAACAATCCGTGGGGACCGTCGGCCGTATTGGAAGCCGAACAATCAGGCGGTAAAAACCAATACAGGTGAGCGAAAAAAGAAAACAAGTGTCACGTCACAATTTCGATGCGTCTAAACCGATTTTTCGTCGTCGTCGTCTGCGTAACGATTTTGTTGAGATTCTTGTGACGATAGGTACAGAATTACCAAGGTTTTAAATTGCACAAAACGACATAGGGTAGTAGGGTACTGTGATTTATATTTCAGTTTGAGCGTTAAATACAGTACCGAATACGTTAGCTTTTAAATATTATATAAAAAGGACCTCTTACGTCCCCATACTTTAACCCCTGAGAATTACAATTAGAAACAGATATGTTTTTCTTATTGTGTTTGTGTCCGTTTAAAAATATCTTCGGTCGAAAATGTGAGAATTTGTCTGACCGGAAAATAAATTAAAATATACCGACTATACGAAAATTCGCTCATCTAAATACAACCAATATAAAAATAAATATTTTGTCACCGTATAAGTTAGATTAAAAAAAAAAAAAAAAAAACATTTATTCGGCAATAAAGGTTTGTGAAAATTAAATTTGTTTTTCTTTTGAAATTTACGATTCTTTTTAAACATAATTTCGGGGTTTATATTCCAGGTCATATATCATCGCGTTCGCGGTTACAACTCGTAAATTTGGAAATCGTATTTTTGATCGTTTTCTATATAGGTATTCAATTTTATCACCATCATTCGTATAAAGTTTTTATGAAAACGATTCACAACAAACGTTATTTTCTCATTGATGTTCATATTATTATGCGCTCCCGGTGAAATATTTTTCAAATGGATTACATTTTCCGACTGCTCGTTTTCTTGCGAAATTCGATAGTAAAAAAAGTCTGGGAAAAACCATACTCATTTTCGATTTTTACAAGTTTTTCAGGTTATTTTTTTGGCTTATACGGAGATACCAATAAAATATTTTTGTTCGAGGATTGTTTATTCACTATGTGTGTGCATGTGTTTGTGCATGTGTGTATGTGTGTGTGCGTGTGTTTAAAGTAATGAAGAAGCAATATTATTTTTGTTAAGATTTTTTTTTGCTCTCTCAAAAACACATTTTTTGGTTAGTAAGTATGCAATATAATGAACTATATGAATTTTCTGTTCGACCACTAAGCAGAAAAGTAAAGTGTTACGTTTTACTTGAAAACATTTTTGGAATTTCCAATACCATTTTACCGAAAATTAATTTATATTCTTGTTTGTGTTCTTAGTAACTTGGTATGTACTTGATGTTTTTTTTGGATTCTGAGAGCAGTGAGGAATATATTATTGACTTCACTTTGATTTGTGCTTTATTGTCTTATTTTTAAAAAATGATAGAAGATTTTTTTTGTAACATTTCGGATCTAATTGGTTAGGTTTCAATTTTGACGAAAATCGTAAAAATCACATTTAAAAACGTGTTTAATTGAACTTTACTCTGAATCATACAGATTATACAGCGAATCCGGCTAGTCCGTCCAAAAGTATTATATCTCCATCTATGCTTATGATTTAACAAATTTATGAGTGACCAATTTTTTTTTTCCGAAATATTTTAAAACTAAAGAATTATAGATATGAGGTATTTTGTGAAACATGGAATTTCATATGGTGCTCGGAGGAGGGTGGTGGAGTCCATGACTGAGACATGTGCCGTAGAAATATTTTGAAAAACACGTTATACCTACCGTATTTCAACATAGTTTAAAACCACTGAGCTAAAATATAAGTCGACAGCTCAACACGGATAGAAATTTAAATCCCTTAAAATGTGAAAAAGTGAAATCATTTTTTTTTTTTTTTGTTAACTTAAATTTCCATAACTTCCGTAGGTTAATGCCTTATACAAGTACCAACTATAGCTATTAGCCATTACATATTATGTCTATATTATATTTTAGGCCCAAAAGGAGCGTGTACCAGCTCTACAACATGGTGGTGTGCGCGACCGGTTGCAATCCGCTGGCTTATCTCGGATACGGTTGTTATTGCGGTTTCCTGGGTTCCGGATCACCGGTCGACCCCATTGACAAGTTAAACACGACTATCAGCACATAATATTTATCTATTTTAATATATAATAAAAATGTTCTGTTATAACACGACCTCGCGGTTGCCAGTACACTCGGAAAAAATTATATTTTACTGTTTTTTTTTTTTTACTGACGGACGTTTAGCTGCTGCAAAATGCACGACTGGTGTTACGACAGTGCTGACTGCCCGATGTTCTTAGAATACTTTACGCCGTACGTCTGGACGTGCTACAACAAAAAGCCTCTGTGCTGTAAGTCAAAAATATTATATTACTATATATAAACTCTCTCTTATGGCTTTGCCTGTGTACAGTATTGCACCAAAAAAAATATGACCGTCTTTCTCTCTTTTTCCACCTCCGTTACCATCACATTTAACCGATTATTATTTGGATTTATTAAAAATTACATATATATTTTAATTCTTTTGCCGCGGTAACATAATTAACATAATGACGGTTTTTTTTTTTTTTTTATCCATATCATCAAAGTAACCATAAATCATAAAATTTCAATTTTTGATTTAAAAATATCAAAAATCATGTACATGTACCAGTTACCAGTTTAGTAAAGGTTGAATTTCGAAAATCCGGCTTTGAAGTTTTTATGTCTGTATGGAAATGTTCACTCTTTTACGTGCGATAGATTCGGTTGTGGATCTTGAACAATCACTTCCTTTTGTTAATATTTAATGTATATGATACAGTTAGAGTGTTGAAGCAGATAATTTATAAAATAAAATAACTGGACAATATCGTTATTTCACTATTCAGCATAGTAATAAATCAGATAAGACGTTCTTGTTGTCGGTGGCCGCAATGTTCGTGTACGTTTAAGAATACCGTTGTACATCGTATATCAAATTAAAATTGTATAGAATAATTAGATATTCTATTCTAAATTTTCATGTATTATTTGATATTTTAACTTACATTCGTAAGTAATTCATGAACTATCTAGTTATTTTATAAAATAACGGAATTCAGTACTTTAACTGTAACAAGATAGAAGAAAATAAAAGATTATACTCCCATCGTATTTTATTTTTGACATTAGCTATTGAAAACGAACTAGGTAGGGTCATCGAATTAAAAAATAGAAAACGAAAATCTTCTCTTTTGCTATGCGTAGTGGGATCCCAACTTAAGTATTATGCGACGAAAAGGATTTCAAAGAAGTTTGAAAGAAAAATCTAAAATTAATTATCAGTATATTCAATTATTTTATTTATTCAGGGTTAAAGTCGTGGCACAAAATGACAAAGTATAATATTATATTATTTTTAGCGTTACACGGTGTCATAGAAATAGCAAAAAAAAAAAAATAAAAATAAAAAAAATAGAGCTTATACTGCTGATGGTTGTGCCACTGTTGTAGGTGAGAATTTGGATATGTAGGACACATCAATTTATTTAATTTATTTAATTTATATCTTATTTCTTCCCACACACTCCAGTCGAACTCACACCAATGTTGTTTGAAACGAAAAATCCAATCTGTCAAAATATATAAAACTGGCACCCTGCAGTGGCGTATCCAATGGGTTGTTTGGAGGTTTCCCCTTGAGCCGTTACATATCATATTACTACTAGAATTAAAGCCTTAAGGTACATAGTATATTTTTATTTCAACTCGTCAAAATTATCAGCCAGGTTTGATTAAGCCAATTATTACATGCACTAAAAAGCTAAAACAACAACTTAATTGTCTCCTAACCTCAAATGAGTCAAACGTCATTTGTCAAAATATCACTTTATTGACAGTTGTATGACTTTAGAAAGCTTTTTCTTAAAATTTGACATTTTATAATTAAACTACAAATTTGTTTATGGAAATTAAAACTATTATCAAATGTTGTATTACTTATTTTAATTAACTGATTTATAATATCATCATTACCTACTACATAGCAAACTCGATAGCAAATGTCTGTATCATTATTATTACTGAAAAGAGTTTGTGCAAATATTATTTACATGTTAATTCCACGGTAGTACATCTTCACTGTCTACAGTCTCTTTTGTACGTACTAAACACTCTGAAAAAAAATATTGAATTGTTAACTGATTAGCACTGTTTTTTCTTTATTAGTACCGGAAGTGTAACAATGTCTTCTTAACATCAAATGTAGTTGTTTTGTCTTTTTAAAAATTAATGTTATAGTTTATATGTATGTTGTAAAACATTTATAGTAATTAACACACCTCTTAAAAAAATCTTAGTTACGCCACTTCTGATGCCCATAGGTGAAACTACGGGGTGTATTGGATATGTCAAAGCACGCCCTAATATAAAGGAAAGCAACTAAATAACAACTAATAATATTTATACATGTACGTAAATCTGCCAACGAACAACTGTTCTAAACGAAGTTAATTTAAGTTTTCGGTTAAAAGTTCAGATCTTTACGATTATTTTTAATTAAATAACAATTAACAACTAAATCTGAACTAACAGACAACCCTTATCATATTCCCATTTCTTGTTATTTATTCGTAATTAAGAAAACCAACAGAAAAATTAAAAAATTACCTCCTATATAATAGTTCAAATTTGTTATCTACTATAAATCATCGCCGAAGTTATTTATGAAGTTATTGATTTCTGTAAGTAAAGTTATTAAAAGACACCATGGACAGATATAATTTTAACATTGTTTTTTTTATATACTGTGTACGAACATTTTACCAGAAATTTTGTTCCAATGTATCAAATGTAGCATTTTTCTAAAAGGCAATTTTATTTTCTTGGTAGTTTAGGGAGATAATTTTTTGATTTTCCTAGCAGTTATCAAAATAATTGGCAAAAACCAGGAAAATAGGTAAAATTTACAAAAATAATTCTTTTATTATTTTCAGTTTTGTTTTATTGTTGTTTTTCAGTTTAAAATGTTTTTAGAGACGTGGTTAAATTTTCAAAATACTTGAGCGATTTTTTCACTATTCATAGACATTTGAATTTTGCAAGTTTTTTTACTAATTTTTATTTGGTAGGTAGGTACTCTGTGGGTAAAATTCGTAAACCCAACAGAAATGCATGCAAATAAAGCAGGAGGGTCATTATAAGTTTAATTTAGTGCTCAACAAGAATAAGTTAAGTTTAATGTAAGTGGTATTTTTAAAAATTTTTTTACAAGAATTTGTATTATCAAATTTTGACGAAAATCGTAAATAAACATGTATAACCGAATTCCGCTCAAAATCGTTTTTCGTTAGCAATTTTTCCCAAATTCTCACATACAACAGTGGCCCACCCATCGAGCGAAGTATGTCAATCTTTTTTTTCTTTGGGGGGGGGGGGGATAAATGATACAGCAAATAATATTTATTTATTTTTTTTTCAGCACTGGGAGGTGGATGCAGCCAACGATTGTGTGAATGCGATCAACAGTTAGCTGTATGCTTGAGACGGTTCGGGTGCCCGACGCAAAAATCGCTGTGCAAAACCAGCCCGTGGAGGTGGTTTCAGAACGTGTTGTTTTGAGCGCGATAAACATAAAACGGTAACTCGAGAATAAATACCCTAAAGCCGGTTTTACCATATCATTGATCTATTAAGCAATATGCCAATAGAAGAATAATATGTTTCAGTTCCAACATTATTGTCAGAAATATACAAGTAAACATTGACATGTCATAGAAGAAAAAAAATCGAATACTATGAAAATAAAATAGTTATCAGTAGAGCTAGACAACTTATAGGAGTTTGCTTAGTTTTCAATAGTCATTAAAATTATAGCTAAGTAATATTGCAATTTGTTTTGCGATTTTTAAAGTTTATAGTAATTTGTTTTATTTTGCATAATCAGTTTTTTTTTCCATAAAAGTCATATGTTTTTACTTGTTATATATGTATTTTAAATGTATTTTTCATAAAGTGTACAATATTTAAGACAATTAGACAATTTTATACTCTCCTCCAACCTAAACTTAAGAGTGGAATATCTCGTCAATGGATCGACAAAAATCAAAAGTGTCAACACTCAAATTTATTTTAACTAATACTTCGTCTATTAATGGACTTTTTAATATAAGTTGCCATTTGAAAATCAAAAGTAGATAGTTGTTTTACCCTTAAAAATAAGGGTTACAAAAAAAACATGAATATAAAATTGTGGAACAGCTTGTTTCTTAAATATTCTAGAAAACAAATTCCGAAAAAATTCAATACTTTCCGAGATAACGAGTGTAGATTGATGACCATGTTCCTGTATACCTATATAATTTTTAAATACATTTACAAGTACGACCGATAAATGACAGAGGATTTTTGCACGCTCCCTATAAATACCTCACTGCAGTGTGTTATCAGTTCGCTTTTTATAGATTTATAGGCTACACGTGAAGCGGATGGTTCATGGACGGGTGAGGTTTTCATTCGCCTCTCGCAGCGAATGTCCATTCGAAATCAACACAGCAGAGTTTTTAACCCTGTTTGCACGATTTTAACTAACAATAAATTTGAATGAGAACATTTTAGTTTAATTGTTCGGGCTATACCTTATCGAGGCATAATCAATTTTCACCTAAACGAACATTTTCCTTTCCCACCCATACCAAAATATACACTTTACCATCAACAGTGTCCCGTCCTTTACTTGACGCACGCAATGGTAAAAATGGGTAACGGTCATTTATTTGTTCACTTTTACCTTCACTCTTTCTACTTCATTCAGTGTAATTTGGCGTTCAATATAACGTTGTTCGATTATAATAGTGTTATCATTTTAAATTTTCAAATATCGACTCTTATTCAAAATACAAATATTCAGTTCGAACCAACGGCGTGGACCATCCGCTTCGTTTGTAATGTTTGCATGTTTCCGACACGTTTCTTATGCCTGATTTTCAGTGTTTTCGATCGAAGTAATAGCAACGTATTTTTTTTTTATTCTATTATTATTATTTTTTTTTTCAGACGATGGTCTTTGCAAATAGTTCCGTTCTAGTCATTAGGTATACCTAAATATTATACACGGCACACACGTCACGATCCGGCTGAAACCGGACGACGAAAATTTGCGTCGCAAAAACGATGACTTCATAGACTTCCTCTAGTCTTTTAAAAGTCTATGACGACGACTGGATTGGCCACCGACAGAAAGACCCGTATTTCGATGAGTTTGCCACCGCGAATCACCAGTGAAAGATATTCTCCGCAGAAGAAGAATGAGTCGAACACCACAGCATCATCAAAATTACGTGATTTCCGAAAAATTCAATACTTAGGTGTTATTATCGTGTAATCGTATTGGCCTGAACATTTGTACACATATACGCATATACTGTTTTTATACACAAAAAATACACGTAATAATAAAATATTCAACGGTGGACATTAATTTATAATAATAGTTACAGTGGCGTGGCAAAATCAAAATTTCTGAGAGGTGAATATTTTGGTAGACCACGTACCCCATCTTACTAGACAGCTAAAAACAAAAATTCTCTCCTTGCAATTAATAAATTTTATAGATGTAAATAAGCTAGAGCTTAAGACTAATTCTCTTTCTGAATCCATTCAATAATAACCCCTCAAAAAAGTGTAAAATGTTCACATCCCACTGTCCCAGCCAATAATGATTTATCATAATTTGTTTTTGCTTTGGCCCCCTCAAATTTATGGCTATATTTGAGCAAATTTTAAAGATCCGTGCAATTTTTTTTTAGAAATAACTTACAGTAAAATGTAAGCTTTTCATACCATAATTTAATCTTGAGATAATATTCAAATATTAAAGTAATATATAACATTTATATGAAAGATACTTAATCATAAAGACAACTCCCTTATCTTTCAAAAATCTCAAAAATAATTACTCCTCTCAAATAAGTATTCACCCACGCCACTGATTAGTTATAAAGTTTAAGTCAAGTTGAAATTTAAAAAAGAAAATGTATTAACTTATTTTTGTTTTTGAATAATTATACATTTATACCGTTAGGTAGTTGTTTTTTTTTTTCTTCACAACTAATTTTCAACTAAACATCCTACAAATAAGTATTATAATAGGGTAATGACGAATGCATTTTTTCTTTTCGAATAATGATGTTATATTCAAATATATATTAAGTCATTACCAAAAATATTTAAGATTTTTAAAGTAGATTATTTAAAAAAAAAAAAAATGTTATGAATTTTAACTTTCAACTAAACGTGTTAAATTTAGCTTTTAATGTTACCTAACTATCTGAAGGATTTTTTAGTTAATTAATGTAATATAGGTAACTAATATTTGTATTAACCCGTCGACCTTAGAAGATAATTTGCAAAATCCGAAGACACACACACACACACACACACAGAATTATTTAAAAAAATTGTTCCATACAATCAATAATCATAATATTTAATCTTATTTTTGTAAATAATTAAAGTAATATTGTATGCATATATAATTATATAAATTATTATAATTAATATTATGTTATTATATTAAAAATGTCGTTTTCTAATAATATGTATAATAATAATAATAATAATAAAAACGTGTACCTAAACCAATTATTTAAGAATACAAAAAACAGTTTACAGAAAGAACACTCATGTCCCCTCCCATTAAAATTAATCATTTGGCTCACGGATATCGTATATTTGTATGAAATCGAAGATAAAAAAGACGGGCATACGTCACACAACGGGCCACTGTTGTAGGTGAGAAAATGGCAAGGTATAACATAGAGGAGAATTTAATTTGTGTCTGTAAGCCATAGTAACTCGTCATTAAAGAAAAATGATTCGGAACAAAGTTCGATTATACATGTTTTGAGAAACCGTAATATTTACGTTTTTTTTTACAATATTTGATGTTAAATTTATATATATATAAAAAAAAATACTACATTAAACTCAATTTTTTTGACCACAAAATAAAACTAATAAGCAATACGGAGCTATATTTCTGGTAGAAAACATAAAGTACAAAAATGTAAAATCATGAAATCGAACACCATTTATAATAAGTATAATTTTGGTGTACACATAATATATATATATGTGTGTGAATAATTGGGTAATAATAATACTTGTTTCTAAATTGTATAATATTGTACATTTAGAATTGTTCATCATTTGTGTTTTCTGATATTTGTTACATTTTTTTTTTTTTATTCGTCATTCCAATTACAAGAATATCAAACAAATGAACAATTAACCGAGTCCCAAAAGTTGGGAAGGTAGGATAAACCTGTTTAAGAAATGCCGTATTCGTAATCTTCGCCGTAAGTTTTTTACTTACCGATAATCTAACACTCTATTTTTGATTTCTTTTTTTTTTTTTTATTTCTCGCTCTATACAGGTTCTATACTCGCTCTCTTCAGGTTTAAAATATTTTTCACATAAAACACTGTTGCTTTTTAGTTCGTCGCCTAAATTATTTTGCCACTGAACTTTAAAATTTTCATTTTTAGGGCACAAAAATACTGAAAATTTACAATTTTTATTGCAACCAAAATAACAAAATAAGTTAGCCATATTATTATTAATCAAACGACACTAACTAAAAAAAAATAAACAACTTTTGAAAATCCACTTTCAGTATGTATGAATTTTTAATTTATAAATAATATTTTCATAGATGATATCATCAATATCGGTTGAATAATAGGGTAAAAATCTATCGGGGTCGAAAACTGTCTAAAATATTCCTCCTGTGTACATCCGGTACTCTACGATCATGCTCATACTCAAATCAGTTCTCCCGTATTCCCACCAAAAGGATTTTAACCGATTAATTTGTAGTTTAAACATTAAACATAATCTCAACAAAGTACAGATTGACGCGCTCTATGAAACTAGTAGAGAAAAAGTGAACTAAAATCGTCTCTCTAAGAGACCACAGTCAACACAGATGTGATGGATTGATTGCCGACCTTATCTCCTAAGATCGTGGTGTATAGTTTACTAATATCATTCTTCATAATTCCATGAACAACTGAGGCGAACAACCGAATTCTAAAATTCGTGTAAATAAGGTAATTATTATGTTAAACCGTTGATCCTTCATCATAATTTGCTATTTGTGTAAATTAATTGTAATCAATCCATATTAAATGTTAGACTTAAAGTCTTTAACTCTCAATTTCGTCACTAACTTCCACCACATCATAGCTCATAATATTGACAATTTGATGCGATTTAGTTGCGTTTTCTATTATTTAAGGCATTACTATAATACAACATTCCTAGTTAAAACAATTTACGTTTGGTTGTATACACACAGCTTTAGGGCGTATCATAATATTTTTAATATGAACTCCTCTAATAATATATCAAAAAATTCGGAAAATAAGCAATTACACTCTGTACCAACCAACAAACAGATAACATAATCAAATGTATGAAAATTGAAAATCATTAAAGTGTAATTTAATTGAAATCCAGTTTTTATAATAGTTGAGAAAAAAAGGAAAATTTGATAAAATTGTTCCATAACTAATAAATAATTCCATACTGCAATCTAGTGTTTAAAATTATAATCAGGTGTAATTTAATTTTAATTTTAAAATAACAAAAATAATAATATAGGGTAAATAAAGATTTTATACATTTTTATGCAACGTAACCTACTGAAAGTTAATTACTGAATAACAATTGCCTTACCTGAATCAATTTCATTTATTCCAGATCTCTTATCGATTGGTTCGTCTTTACTATTTTAAACTGTTGTATATGGCCGCCATGTCATTGTTATAATTCGGATCGTGTCGGTCTCTACTCTCTATGACTCTGTTTCGCGTTTAAGAATTTTTACTATCCACTTATCCATTGTCAATAATTAACATACATTAGTTTTAAAACACACTTCGAAGTTCGAACGTAATTATTGAAACTATTGCGATGGAATATGTAAGTAATAAGGCACAAAATATTAAGAAAATTTGAACAGCGTACTTGTCGTATTGGTAGATCAGTTCGGCAATAAGTTTGACGGTTGATAAAATGACAGGTACACAGTGCCGCGGCAAACGACGATAACGGTTACAAACTAAAGACGGCGACCGAAGATCGTCGAAGTAATTACACCGTTCGTCCGTATCTACAATATGTTCTTGGAAATACTCGTATTCCCACATGAGATAATGTGCAGTTTTATTATTTGATAATCAGAATTGCATTGACAATTATTACAAGGGTGTTTTAAAATGTAGGCTGTTTTATTTCTTTATGGTGGACAATTTATTGTACCTAAATGACTAAATAAATTATATTTTTCCGTTTATTATTAGGAAAAAAAAAAAATGTCAAAAATAAATTCTTCCTAAAATTTCGGTGGAGGGGGTTTGTCCCCAAAACCAGCCTAGCGTTGCCTTTTTTTGTCGGATTATGAAGACGGTGTTTTGTCGAATGGCTCTTTGTTATTATCTGGTGGCACTACGTCGGATGGCTTTATGGGGTGTCACCCTCTATATTACCACAGATTATATGAAACCAGATGGTGCGCTCTCTAGTCGGCCCATATAATTCTCAAAAATCTAAACAATCAAAACCTACCTCAAATCACTGTCACCCATGAATAGGGAAAATAAGTCTTTATGAGAAATTATTGTTTATTAACAGTGCATCACTGCCTTTTTTTAACGATGGTAAGCTGTTGTACTCGCAGTCACTAGGTAATAGAATACATGGTTATAGATGGGTAGTTTATTACTCTTTCCTACTCCTACGGTCTAAACTTTAAACAATTAAAATTAATAAACGATAAATTTGATACGAGTGTTATGGATATCAAAATAAATTTTCTAGACTAATGTGTTCTACTCAAATCTGTGTTCAAAAGGGGGAGAGGGTTCCTATTTGAAAATCAAAAGTATGTACTTATTTAAGGTATATGGAGTAGAGGTAAAAAATTAAAAATGGTTTTAAAATAAAACTTAAACAATTCTTTAATGATTAAAAAAAAAAATCATTGTGTATATGCATGAATTATTTTTTGTTTTCAATAAAAATAGATATTTTTAAAGAGACGATTATTTTTTATTACTTAATACTACTTTAAGTTATATTACCTATAATCCTATACATTTTTTTTTTTAAATAAAAATATTTTTGACTTGTATAAGTCATTACTTCTTGACGTATAAATAATATAGAAAAAGTATAAAAAAAACAGACATACTTCGCATGTGGGTGCAGCCACTGCTGTAGGTGGGAAGGTAGGATACAGAAGACAATTTAATGTATATCTGTTTTTTCGTAAGCAACGATAAACCATTGCTTACGAAAAAACGATCCTGAATAGAGTTCAGGTAATAGTGATGCTTTGTCAAAAATATATGTCATATTATGGTAAAGTATTAAATAATTTCTTTAATTATAGTTATTTAATATTGATCCGATTTTCCCCGTTTTTCACATTTTCTGGGAAAACTTTTTGGAAAATCAAAAAAATTACCTCCTTTAAGGACTTTTCCAGTCAGATTTTCTTTCAGAAAAAAAATGTTTAATATTTTACTAATATAATTTGTGCATTTTACATTTTTTTACACTTGATGAGAAAACTCCTGAGAAAATCGAAAATGACCTCTCTAAAGTACATCACACTTAAAGAAATGTTCTTTCAGTAAAGGGTCTACATCGCATATTTGATTTCAATTTTGGGAATCTATTTTGAATTTTTTTATGGTTTCAATTCTGATTTTGATATTGGTATCGAATTTTTAACAATATTAACCAGTATTTTAAAAAAAAAAAAAAACACTTAAATTTGTATTTAATTCATATAACTACGGTTTCTGACGTTCGTGTTTTCGACTATTTTTATCGAAATAATCGTGTTCTTTTTCAAAAATGAATTATTGTCAACGACCATGAAACATGTAATTGACAGTAATTACTTGACTAAAATATATTTCAATTCCATATGAAATATTATAAGCTTATAAGATGATAACGAAATTACTCAATTTTATTTTTCTATTCAACTTTTACAATTTTATTGCTACTAGTATAAGTTACCTACTCAAAACCTAAAATTAATTTTAGATTCTGAGCGGAGTGAAGAAGCTCATGGTTTGTTTTTTAATGGTGATAAGAACCACGGTTTTAGACGATAAGATATATACCTAACTGCATGATTGGACATAACATCTTATCAATGGTGATTAATTAATGCAAACTTAAACAATTTGTTTACTAATAGGTGATATTAATATTATCAAGACGATTAAAACTATAAATATATAATATGTAATAACATAACAAGTTTCTTTTCATTTCAATAATCTTTCTGGATTAATTGAGAATCTATAATTTTAAGTTATAATTAACAAGTTAATAGCTGTAGTTGAGATTTTTGAACATTGCACACATACCTTAGTCGGTAGTCGGACTTCATTTATGTTCTTTAATTATATGTTAGTCATTAATTATGTATTCGAAGATTACTAAATACATTTTTATTTTTATTAATAACATTAAAAGTATACAAATGAACATATTTAAAACATCGGTATGATCCTTCATCATATGGCATATTAGGTTTTTGAGAAAATGTCTTATTACTCATGTTACATTGGTGCGATCTTTCCTCACTATGAATTCTTTTGTACATTTTTAAAACTCTATTGAAAAAAATACAAATTGACAAAAAACATATTACATACTCAAGGCTTTTTTCCAATATGAATTAATTTATATACATTTAAATAGTCAGTTCTTGAAAATTACTGCTTACAAATATTACATTCATAAGGTTTTTCTCCTGTCCGAGTTATTTCATAAATCTCTTAAGAGTATTTTTTAGCAAATGACTTCTTAAATACTTTACATTCATTAGGCTATTCTCCAGTATGAATTTTCTTAGGGTTTTTTAAATGACTTAATTATAAATAACAGTTTTTTACACTCTCTACATTCACAAGGTTTTTCTTCTGTACGAGTTATTTCATAAATCTCTTAAGAGTATTTTTTAGCAAATGACTTCTTAAACACTTTACATTCATTAGGCTATTCTCCAGTATGAATTTTCTTATGGGTTTTTAAATGACTTAATTAAGTAAAAGTTTTTTACACTCTCTACATTCACAAGGTTTTTCTTCTGTATGAGTTCTTTCATGAATCTCCAAAGAGTATTTTTTAGCAAAAGACTTCTTAAATACTTTACATTCATTAGGCTATTCTCCAGTATGAATTTTCTTATGGTTTTTTAAATGACTTAATTAAATAAAAGTTTTTTATACTCTCTACATTCACAAGGTTTTTCTTCTGTATGAGTTCTTTCATGAATCTCCAAAGGGTATTTTTTAGCAAATGACTTCTTAAATACTTTACATTCATTAGGCTATTCTCCAGTATGAATTTTCTTATGGTTTTTTAAATGACTTAATTAAGTAAAAGTTTTTTACACTCTCTGTGAGTTTTTATATGTCTGTTAAAATTTTTTTTCTGACTTCTTAAGTCTTCTCACTGACTTCACATTAGTAAAGTCTTACATCACTATAAACTTTCATGTGATTTTTTTATATGCAATTTTAAATTTGATTTTAACAAAAATAAGTTACTACAATAAGAGCATTCAAAGTATTTTTCTTGCAATTGTGATTTTTAGTACAAAATAGATTTTTTTAGATCAGTTTCAATAACAACTTCACTCTCATAAACAAAACCATCAATGATGTCTACTTCTTTTTTAATATAGATAATTATTTCTTCACCTTCGTGTTTAGAGCTGCATAAAACGCTGAAAAATATGATTATTATAATCAGTAATAACACTAATATCATTAAAAACAAATACAAAAATAGTACAATACAATACAATAAAATAAAATTTGTTCCTAACCTAACCTCAACCAATTCAAAAGATAGATTATCATATTTATTTGGTACATCACCGCTTTTGTATTAATAGTAATTATTAGTCATTATTATCCTCTAAATGCAATTCAACCCACTATTTATGTACAACGGTTGATACTACTTCTCTCTTATCAACATTTTTTGCTTCTCGTTAGTTTCAATTTAATATTTTCTTTATTGGTTTGCGATAACTCGTGGTGTGGATTTTGATATCTGAGGTAATCAAATTGTATTCACCAAAGCCCAAGTGCTTATTTACAATAATTTTGTTACCTGTGTAATTTCCTACCACATTATATGTAGGAATAATGATAACGGTAAATAAAACAAAGTCATTAGCATCTAAGGAACCAACTAATTTCTAATATATGGAATTTACTGAACAGCATGAAAGTAACAGCCTCCACACGAAATCTATTTTAAAAACATAAAAAATAAATTCAATAATTTAGAAATTATTTTTAGTGCCATAAAGATCAATTTAAATGATTTTCGTTCCAAAGTATCTCAGCTAAAACAAGACAAGTTAAATTTTGAACATGACTTAGCCTCAGAATGTAAAAAATTAACAAAGCTCTAAATTACTTCTACCATGACATTCCCAAACAATCTGGACTTTTTTTCCAAATTAAAAATAGGATTTAAAGAGAAAAAAATATTCTTTTATTCAATGTTCCAGATTCTAAGCATGAAGACTCAACTATTCATTTGGCCACTGGTTTAGACTTACTGAAAGCTTTATCTTTGTCAAGCATTAACATCATTTGTGCTAATTGTTTAGGCAGGTTTGGATTAAAACCCTGTTCCTATTCTGTTATAATTAGATTCTCAATCAAATATCTTTTAAGTCTTCAAATCAAAAATTAAATTACTATCTATGAACTAATGGAATCATGTATCAATCACCAAAGATAGAACACATCAACAGGCTTTAATAAAACAATTATGTTCTGAATCGGGGAAAAGAAGAAAATCTGATGATAACAGCTGGTACATTAAATTTATATCCAATTTAAGCACGCTACTAAAACTTCTAAAAAAAACTTATGGGGCTAAATATCTAAAAACATCTATTGGGAGCGCCAAAAAGTACATTTGTGGTCATATTAATAACTTAAATATTTATCAACCAATTAACTTAAATAGAGTTTTTTTGTATCAATTTGTATAAACAATTAGCAAACTCAATCAATCAAATAAAATATTTTTAGTATTTTTCAATCATTGTGGATTAAACAATAGACAATTCATGTCAAGAAAAAGTATTAGTTTTACACAAAATTAAATATTACATGTTAAATGTTTATTACTACCTATAGTACAATAATCAAATAAAATGTATGACTTTAAATGAAGTTTTCTGAATATGCTAGTGCTTACACAAAATACTCTAAGTCATAACAAATTTTTTAAATGCGGAAAATTTGATAAATTTGGAAATTGGTTGGTGACTCTTATTTAGTTTTAGAAACGCGATGTAGTAATTTGGGAGTAGTTTTTGTAGGTGGACGAGTAGTAAATGAAATTGGGTGATTTTTTTTACATAATAATATTATTATTGTTATTGTTTTAATTTTAACTCATTTACTCACTTTGAATTAAGAGGAGAATTTTCGAAGCTTTTATTAATGTCCATGATCAATGTGTCGACTTAAGTTAATGTTGTTAAATACTGTGAACAAAAATAATTAATTAATTTAAGATTAAAATAGATAGGTATTTATTTAAATGAATTACAATAGAAATGTTCCATCAAGTAACAAAATGTCATCAATAATAAGCACTAAGAATAATGACAGGCAAAAACAAACTAAAGTAATAACTCAAAAAAGGAAAAATAAATAAGATAACAGAACAATATAATGTGTAGGTTTCTTTTTTGGTAATAATCAGTAGCATCATTACAAGTTTTCAGATGGGAGGGGAAGGCAAACTTTTTGACTGACCCATAATAAAGCTAAAAAAAAATTGCTCACTAAATTATTTGTCGCAATTAAATTTTTATTTCTATACAAATGCCATGCTTACATAATTTAATACTTACTAAAATACGCATAAATAACAGATTTTTTTGAGGGACAACAATAACTAAAAAATAAATATACACGCAGAGGGATACCTAAATATAATAACTATTAGCTACTATATAAATACAATTTTAGTTAATTTTACCCCAATTCACATTTTATTTTTACCAATATGTATGGAGTATAAATGTATCATAAAACATAATAACTACTACACACCAGCATATACAGCCTATACCTAGCCTGCTGACAAGGGATCAAATGTTACCGCTGCCACCTTTCTAATGACGCCACTGGAATATAAATGTTTTAGATATATTTATTCACTCTGATAGTGGCGTTATAACCTTTCTCCTAGTGTTCGGAAAGCTTATGAGTAGTGAGTTTGAAAATAATGACGATACTAATAAAAAGTATAATTTTGTTTACCTACTTACAGTGTTAAAACATTAGGGTTATTTGTAGGTGTTCTTACATGATCCTGAAATTGTTGAATGGCAAAAACAACACAGTTAAAATAATCTACCTTGAATGATTCACACTATGTGCAGCACTCAGATAAAAAATACTAATATTTACCTAAATTAGGATTGAAAAAGGTTGAATGATTAATATAGATATATAAATGAATTGATCGTAAGTAATTAGATTTTAGCTGCTAAAAATTCAGAGTTATTTGAGAATCGTGATTAACAAAAGGACAAAAAAAAAAAAAAAAGAGGCATGATTGTATGTGCTCGATAGTGTTCATGACTGAGTGATTGTTAAAAGAATTTCTTGAGCGGGTGAGACGCTAAAAAAAAAATTATATTTTACAATCTTTGACGATTTTACATTAGTGCCAATGCAATATAATGTGCTGATAATTAATCGTCTAAGATATATATTTTGTTTAATAATGATTTTGTTTTTGGTCTACAACCGAGAACAATATCGCCGAACCTGCCCACTCTTAATATTAACATCCATTTGCAAAGTGTTGATTATTGGAACAAGTTCACTTTACCCTTTCACGAAACCCTTTATTTTTCAATTCTTTAAATCATGAGTTTTTTGATGCTGATTACAGAACTGTTTGAATTTTTTTCCGGAAATCATTATTAAAGAAGTTATGCAAGTTTGAAGTTTGTCGTTAATACGGTTTTAGCTTAAATACCTATTTATTTTCCATTCATTCATTTAGAATTTACTTTGGCGTATTGTGTAATGTGTTAGCCGTAGGAAGCCGTATTGAATTTGATACTGTCCTACGTGCTGATAAATGTTTGCAATAATTTTTGTAAATAACTTTCAGTTTGCTGTGCAAAACCATGTGGGGTATTTAATAGGGAAAATTAAAAACGCATTTTTTTTTTTTTACAAAAAAGTACAAAAATTTACTGCGCATTGGACGTAGTATCGAATTCGATACCAGTTACAGTGAGTTACGCGTTACCCAAGCGCAATGTCAATTCTAAATAAATACGAGGAAAATAAACAGGTATATAAGCTAAAACCGTATTAACGAGAAACTTCAATAACTTCTTTAATAATAATTTCCGCGAAAAACATTCAAACACATTGGGTGCCCGGTAGACTTATACCGTCAACTACTTTTTATCACTTAATGCCAAGTACTCGGTCGTATCCGAATCTTTTGGCCACACGGTTGTAAAAATGCACACCTACACGTAAAATTTTATGTGAACATAACATTACGATAATCACATAAAGAAAAATTGATTTTTCAATACATACCCACAACGCCTGCAGTAGTATTTTGTCCGCTAAAATCCATTTTGATAAATATTTTCAAAATATAGAAATCCGTACCGTTTCTGTAATATCAAACATTAATAATAATGAATAAATAATATGTGGGTGCGGTCCACGTGGAAACGCGTTGAAAGGTTCTAAGAAGAACTGAACACAAGATATTGTTGGCGGTCGCGCCGAAACGTGTATTTATCAACAATGAATAAAAGTGTAATTAACTGTAATATAAGTAAACTAAGTAACTAAGTAATAAACAAACGAATAACTTGACATATACGTAAAAGGTTAGGTAAAACTTGAGATCATAAATACCGGTTAAACAGACGACGTGGATTCGCGAGCGGGACATTCCACATAGGAGGCGCCTGGCGTAGAGCGAATGACAGTTATCAGTTACGATTTCACGAATACTAATGGAGGCCGGTGTAAAGTTTTGACAATGCTGCCAACCGTAGATGGCCACATTGGTCGCCACAAATATATTTTCGTATTAATTAAATCATTATAATATTATGGTATAATTAAACAATATTTATCAAAAGACTTTGACAAAATGATAAACGGTGGTAATAAGGTAAGACAAATTAGTCAGTGTGACTGAAAAATTAAAGAGAAAGGTACAGACTACAAAGTAATACGAGCGTCTAGAGACGGCCCATGAGCGAATTCCTTATCAATTATAATGTAATAATTTTTATCAAATATAACCTGCACACGAGTAAGTGTACATTATTTTATTCTCGTGTACGTGTTACGACTACACAATATAAAATTGTATGTGTAAACATATCGATGCTGTGAAAATTAATATGTCAGATGACAATGATATTAACGCCAAAAATGGTGATACTAATCCAATGGGTACAGATGAAAATTGTATGAAAATGTTTGACATGCAGCAAATTATTGCTCCATCTGCAGTTGGCATTACAAACAAAATTCAGCAATTTCATAGCATGTTTGTGCCACAAGCAGGTAAATTAAATGATGAACGGTTACATAAAATTAATTTATATGAATTAGAATCTAACGTTCCTGTTTCATTAAATGAAAACGCGAGCCAATAAAAATGTTGAAAAACAGTTGCGGTCTTCTTCAACTACAAAACTTTTTAGATTTAGCAGACCCTCTCCCACCGTTTTTTGTTTATAGGTTATTTCGGTGTATTTTATCGTTCAACGTGTGGTAAATAATTTTGATCGCAATAACATTTGTTTAAATTAATACGTTTTTCCGATTTGGCGATGTCTGAGATGTATAATCAATCGGTCGTTAGTAACGGTTGGGTCTATACTCGGAAGACTCAAATATTGATACTATTGTACGGATTGTTTGTGCAACTGCGGGTATACATTGGGACGAACCCTATAGTAAACTGCTAGGTCCCAGCGTAGAAAATATTTATCTATAATATTATACATTATTATCATTAAATGTCTACAGTAGAAAATTATGGTCTGAACAATTAAATTCCGTTATTTTACGTTCCGTATTTTTTTATTATTCCGGTCAATTATTTTCCGTACAGCTACGACCTCTTTGTCATACTGTTAATATATTTAAAATATCATTTCATCCTCGGAATTTCCCATCCGTGTATACATATATATATAAATTATATTGTATCTATTTATATGACTATTATTACGACCACACTGATTCAATTTATTCAGTTCACCTCTTGTTAAGTCAAATCACTGGCGAACTACCTCCATACCTACGGAAAATATTTTGTTTGTAACCATTGCGCAGCATAATTTATATTTAAGAAATATAATATTTTAACACAGGTAATATATATTTTTATATTATATTAGTAAAATATTTGCGAAATAATATTTATAAAAAGTTCTATTATTATTTCTTCAAAAATATTTTAATTGAAACATTTTAAAAACATTTAAAAATCATTTTTATACAAATATTTATTGTTAAACCATTTAAAAATATTTACAAAATATTATCACTATCCAAATGCTGTGTGGAATATAGTAAATAAAAATTTGCTTCCAGAAAAGATGCTACACTTGATACATTGGATCAAGATTTTTTTTATAGTTATTATATGGATATATAAAAACATAAGCAATAATATAATGAATAACACAATTTACGTTATTTTTATTGATTAGAATTAAACTTGATAATCATAACTCAATTGTAATTAATATAACATAAAACTTTAAATCAGATATTTGAAAGCTTTGTATTAAGTTTCTATAGTTCTTTATATAACTTTCCAATGGTGTAAGTATTTTAAATATTTAACTATAAATATTTGAATATGAATTAATATTATTAAATAGAGGAAGATTGAAAAGAGGTGATTGAATACAATTGAAAATGATACGACAGCCGATTGTTGTGAGGATGATATGAGATATCGAGTCAAGTGAAAGTTTAAAACGAGGGTGGTTGACTCCAAATAATTGGGATGAAAGAGAAGAAGAAGACTTATTATTGAATAATTTTTAAAAAGTAGTGTAAAGAGGGTATGGAAAGACGAAGCTCCACACGGGTTATGTTGAATTCAATAATGGTATGAGACGCTAATATTTTAAGTAACAAAAATTCTGTGGACCCTATGGCAAAACAGAATAATTTTAGCATTAATAATAAAGATTACCGTTTAATAATAGGTAACGAAAATTATTCCTATGCCTATGATACTAAATACCTACTATGTAATAATAATATTTAGGTTATATAAGTAAATAGGTGTAAGATAAAAAAATAATAATAACAGTAATAGAAATTAACGTATATATTTTCACATTTTTAAAGATAACATTATGAAAATTAACATACCTACCTACTTAAAAATATTATTCTTTGTATACATTTGTTATTAGGTATTTAATCTAAATAATATCAACAATATTATTGTTATTCATTTATTATAAAATAACAGTACTTAATACAACTCAATAAAACTACTAACTATAACCTACCATATGATACCATTACCTACTATAACAATACTCTTATATTTTACATACATTTGAAAATAAGAATAATAAAATATACAGATTAATAATGATGCAAGGAACTTGTAGAATCAAAAGTACCTATTCTAGTATAGAATAATAAATTTATATCAGTAAGACAGTAAATATAGGTATAAAAAAATAAAAATCCAGTATAACGAAAAAAAAAAAAAAATCTAATTAAACACAATATATCTTTGGATATTTACTATTTTATGGTCGTAAGAAAATAAATATAAGGTACATAGTATAATATTAAGAATATACTTGTATTATAGCCTGTAGTGATTATTGAAAAGGTATGTAAATTAATCAAAATACACATTTATTATGAGTGTATGTGGATAAGATAGGAAAATATAGTGATGGATATATTTTCAAAGATGAGCAGTAAATACTTAGTTAAAAAGTTAAAAGTGAACTTTAGTTAAGAATTTTTAGCAACTTATGTTATTTTACAAAATACGTCCATTAATATATTAGGTAACTTTTAATTTAAGTTATTATTTCCCTGAAAATTTGTCACTTAACCGTTGCAGACCCGAAGTCCCGTGAAATGGCTTTACTTTAAATTATACGTATCACGATTTAAAATTTGTTTATCTTATGCATGCCATATTATCCAAAGATAATGCAGTTTACAAAATCATAAATTATAATGGTTGTTATATTATTTTAACTCTGTAAATGACTGATGTCCTCAACAGAAGACAAGCAAATAACGTATTGATAAATTTAGTGAAAACAAAATTGTTTTATTTTATTTAGCAACCTATTATTGGATATTTATAAACGAAAAAATTTAATTCCAGGTCTGATAGGGTTAACTTAATTTCTAAAATGAATTTATATTAACAACATTAACTTTAACTTATTTAATCATTTTTTTTTTTTTTTTTAGGATACTTTAACTTAAAATAGTTATAACAAATTGGTTATCATGCTCAGCTTTGTATTTTTATCAGGAGATTTAGAGGACTAAAAAAAGAAATCTACCAATATAGAGTATTTTATAATTATACGCATAATAATAAGGCAATCATTTTAATCTAACGCAGTCATTTGTTGCGTTGACTTGGTGTATATATGTATGTATATATTGTATATTCTGTTTAGTGTATACTTTGTATACACCGTCACTCATTAACTTAGTGGGAAAATAAAGTCATATGGTACCAGTTCAGATACCGATTCTAGCGTATTCTTCATGATCGTGCCGAGCGCGTCGCCGATGGGTGGCCCGAACTCTTTCAGTAAATCTTTCCAGTTTTCGTTCAAGAAAATATTCATGTTATCACCTGTGTAAAACAATAAAATATTATAGGAAAAATATCAATCGAAATAACCACGTCAAAGGGTATTTAGTAAATACTGCATAGTGCATAGTACATTAGGTGCCACTATAGTTTGCTTGGAATGGGGTGGTGGATTGGTTCCGAAGGAAATCGCACAACAATATATTTACAATTTACTAGAGTTTTTCGTGAAAAATATTTCGAGAAAGAATATATTGAAATTTATACTACTATAGTTTATATTTTATAATATATACTATTTTGAAAAACGTGCAGTGTGAATTGTACATTTTCTGGTTGCGTATTTGTGGTCACAGGTAATATTGGGAAGCAGAGAATACAGTGTTACTTCCCTGCGTATTCTCGCCACCTACATATTTATAAGTTATAATTCAGATATTGTAGACATTTGATTTTCATTACTACAAGTCCAACATGAATAAGCTACGTTAGCTAAACATTTGTTCCATACTATGTAGAACTAATACGCGAAATTGTATTTTGATTATTATATTGACCATTATTTTTTTCGGTCAACTTTTTATATTGATTTTTCGGTGTTTTAATTAATAATAATTTAATAATCAATAGCGGTTAAAAAAAAAAAAAAAATTCAATCGGGTTTTATGTCGGAGGGGCACAAATTTAGAGAAAAATCAAATTTTTATTTTCATCTCTAAATCGCTGAAAAATAAAACGTTATTTTTCTTTACCCCCCGATAAAAACCTCGATTGGAAAAAAAAATGAACATAGTTATTAGCATTTGGATAACATAGTAGGACACTCTGTGTACGGGCGCCCTATAAGTCCTGAACTCCTGACCGTATTCGATATTCTACAAAAACGAAACATATAAGTGACTGGTATATAATCTGAAATATGTTTTTTTTAACTAAGTGGTATGAGTCAATCACTAACTTAAGTAACATTAAACGTATCTTATATTTATTACACGAATCTATAATTTAAATGCCTCGAGTTTATTACAGCGATATCAGCTCGTTTATAATATACCTATCCACGAAGTTTCAAAGAATATTCATTTTATGATGTTGCTGTAAGTTTCCCGATTCAAGGTCGACTTGTATTTCACCTTCGTACACTATATAGTAACGGTAATAATAGAAGTAATAGGCTAATACTTAATATCTGTTGGTGATCAAATTTGTTTGTGACCACATAACGTTAATCTGTATACGGTTTTATTACATACCCATACGCTATTAAGTATAGTTCTTAGAACAGAATATTCAATATTATATTAATGTACATTAATTATAAACCTATCTAAACCTAAGGTATCGTCACATAGATAAATTTTAAAATATCTAGATTAAGATTAGAAATAATTGCTAAAATAATGATCTAGAAACAAAAATTGTTTTCATTACTTTCATAAAACTACGTGCTAAACGAATTAAAAGCGTACCAGATTTGGTAGACTTACATATTTCATAAAGATTGTGTGATTGTCAATTAATGTAACTTAAGTTACATCAATTAATATTTAACTAATTTCTTAAACCGTATTATTGTAAATTAAATATTTGTTTTATTATTTTTAATAAATATCAAAATTCCGACTTAAAACGATTTATCTGAATAAATTTACCTACACGATCCAATTATTTATCATAAATAACATATTTTTCGTTTATCTAAATAAGATGAAAGATACAAATTTACCTATATAAATAATTTAACTAGATCAAACACAACACTTACTGTGACCACAATGAAACGAAACTATAATTGTGTGATAGATAGTATTGGAAACTTGAAATAGTGAAGGATTTTAAGCATCTATTAGAATTGGACCAGTTTTGGGAAAATTTTATTTACAAAGGAATTCTCGTTCTTACTGTAAAAAAAAGGAACTCATTTCTTAAATAAAAAGGTTTATCGTTTCTTAAAAAAGAAACACGTTCCTTTATTTTTACTTTAAATTTTAAACGTAAATTGGTTATACTATGACGTGTGTATTTTTAGATTCTGAGCAGAACGAGGGATGTATTCCTTTTACTTTTATGTGATTTTTTTTCTACCTGTAAACAACTGTTTTTACTAAAAATTGTACTCCAATCAAAAAACTACTAGACATTTTTGTAGCACTTTGGATCTAGTTGGTCATCGAGGAGATGATTTTATCAGTAGTTTTCATAATAACTGAAAATAACCGGAAAAAAAAACCACTTCATCTAGCAAACTGTTTTCAATATAGGTCAATATAAATGGAAACTGGATAAAAAAGACCCTTGAGATGACTTATACAACAATGGTGTGACCAGGTATAATCAGGACTTATGACTATTAAGAATAAATACACCAAATTTACAATCGCGGCTGTAATTTCGTTAAATTTTACCATTTATAGGTACGCTGAAAACGAATCAGCAAAGTTAATAGATTTATACTGCTGGACCGCTATCATAATAATATACGAACTAAAACGATTTTACGTAATGATAACGATTCGGGTTTCAAATAAAATATCATATCTGGAGAAAAATCCATCACATAAGGTGAGAAATAGTTGAAGAAATTTTAGTTTTTACTAACCAAAAAAGCGTTTTTCAAGAAAAAACACGTTTTAATAGAATAGCACTACTTGCTTCCTCGCTTTATTCACAATTTAAAATATATACCTATAGACCGTTAACTAAATTGATTAAAAACTTTAAATTTTTTTTTTTTTTAATTTTACAAAAAAATAAAAACAAAAGAATTTAACGAAATAAAACTTGTAAACATTTATTCGATAACACGCATACAACAGCTGCTTCCACTCCTTAAATTATAGCATATACCTAATAATAATAATTTCAATAATATGTCAGGCAGTTTTCTAATTTTCTTTTTTTTCTTTCAAATCAATTATTATTTTTATTATTTATTACATTAAAGTTTTAGAATTTATTATTTTAACATGTGCACTCACCCAAAAGTTTGTCACCGTTGAACAAATTGTCCAGTTTCAATACCATTCCTTTAGCGTTGAAATTCAAGTAGCTATTTGTGATCTCCACGTAGTCCTTTTCGTTTTCCTTTTTGTTCAGTTTATAGTCGTATACGTACGTGAAAGTGATATCGGCTGTGTTGTTAAGGTCACATAATATAAAAGAAAAACACAAGTTCGCTAGTAAACAAATATTATAATATATATATAGTTTCCGCCGGAAACTAGCAGACTATACAAGGTATCTCGCGAAGCCATTGATATGGTATGTAAAATGGGTACATATTCGGATGGCATCTTGTATATTACAATGTTTTAGGCTATTTATATTTACTCGGAGGCTTATACTTACTGACTGTAATGTTCGCGTCTCCGTCACCTTTAATCGGTAATATCAGCACTTGTCCCTCGATCGAATACTGTCCCAAGAACATACACCGTTCCAGTTCAAAATCCCATTCAACGTGCCGTTCCTTTTCCCTTAACCTGTGCTAGCGATTAGTTTAGTAAGCATAGTATTATAATGATTGGAATTGGATGGGAGAAGGAGATTATTTAAATAGGTATAGACGTTATAGTGCTTTAAACGTTATAAAGTGAAATTATTTTTATTGCTGTGGTAGTGTGTAGGTATATCTAATATTCCAACATTATACATTCAAAAAATCATGCGTTTCACCGCGTGAATGCGATAAAATAATATTATTAAACGGGGAGGCTTTCATTTGAGCGAAATACCTATAGAATAGTTTAATTGTTTGCAAGAAATTTATGTGTGTCGTTCAGGCAAATCATAATTTTATTTTAAATGTTTAAAGATTGTTTAGGACTTTTAATTTAAATTAACCGGTAAATACCTATGTCTAATTTTTAAATTCTGAGCGTAGCGAAGGATCTATTGTTGATTTAATCGTTTGAACAAAAAGAAATGATTGAAAATTTAACAGGAAGTTTATTATAAGTCGTATTTATTAGTTAAAAAAAATATAGAGTGTAATGTAGTAATTTTTTCTGATAATAGTTTTAAGATAAAATTTTGTTGAGAATCAAAAATCATGTATCAGTATACAGAGCTTAGTCCAGATTCGTTTTCCGTTAGCAATGGTTTACTTTTGCTTATAGATATATTAAATTAAAGATATATTATTAATATATTAAATAACTTTATTTATTCTACTTTCCCAATTTCCCATCTACAACAGTCATCCATCAGCAAAATCGGTTATTTCTTTTGTTTCGTTTCTTCAAACTTTTTTTTTTATTTATTTAAATCCGATTTATGTTGGTTTAATGGATATTTTTTACCCGATTTTTCTAAATATATTTCCCAAAATTATCTAATTTTCCGGACTGAAAATAGTTTCAAGATTTTAGTATAGAATATTGAGTTTAAATTTACCTTTATAGACACATTCGTTCTAACAATCAGCTAACTTCTCAAACAAATGAACGACATATTTAAGCCCAGTAAATACAGTAATTGGGTTATAGTATTAACACTACACAAATACACACCTAGCTTTAACAAATTTCGTGTTTTTCAGTCCATGCAGCTGGCAATTTTTGCATTTCATGACAAGGCCCACTTGTTTCGTTCCTTGCTTAATTGTCATTTCCGGTATGATCAGAGGGTCTAACTTCGGTATCCGGTACTTGGGATCGCCTTTAACTATTCTTTCGATTACCGGCGCTCCTTTGCGCACGACGCATTCGTCCAAGTTCGGGTCGTCTCTCAGACATCCCTTCCCGATATACGACGCTGTAAACATTAAAATAAAAGTCGAAATCTGTAAGTAACTTTCATGACGAAAAAAAAAATCGATTACTTGTTGTGTCGAGGCAAAGAACATATCGAGATCCACCGATTCTAAAAAACGGATTCATATTCGATAATACGCGAACAAAATTTAGAAATCTTGTGGGTACGTAATATTATATGTTTGTATATTTTTGTGTGTGTGCATGTGTGTTCGAGTGTGAACTACAGTCAAATCTATCGCACCTATAGGTCTTAAAGTATTTATGCAAAACCAGACAAATGATTCCGTGTACACCTCATAGCCAGATTTTCAGATTGCAATGGAGTTATAATTATATAATAATAATAATTTTTAGTATTATGAGGGATTTTCTATGTTTTTATTTCTGGCTTACATTGTATCATACAGATCAAATTCAAAAAAATAAAATAAAACAGTTATTATTAATCAAATTGATGATCATAGGTAAAGAAATATCGTTTAAAAAAAAATGAATTACAAAGAGACGACGGTTAGGAATACTGTTATAAAGAGGAGCGTCGAAACACAGAGACACTTTAAATTAAATTTATTATATTGATTTGTGTTTTTTGAAAGGATTTGTAAGTCGTATAAAAAGAGATTTTTAATTGGCATGGGTAACGCTGGGCAGGACAGTTATAATAGTTATATAGTTTATATTTTGAGTTTAAAATTTAATATATTATATCATTGTGGTGGCCTTCTGCAACTGTACTCAAATACAACTATCGGTATTTTCAAAACGTGTCAATGTCATAATAATATTTCATATTACTTTTTATAAATATAGTTGAAAATGTTTTGTGTAACATATAATAATAATATATAAATGTAGGTGCATAATATAAATTAGTTTTATACAGGTAGCCCAAAATACCTTATGATTCAGTATAATTCGAATTTGAAATCGCCTCATAAAATTATTCAATTAACTTACAATAAAATATTATTATCGCGTAGATTATTAGTTAAGTATATTATAATTAAATAAATTCGTGTTTATATAATATTAAGCATCAATAAATAAAATACATCTATGTCAAAATTATGAAAGCGATTAAACCCGAAATCCCTTTTAGAAAATTAAATATAATATGAACTGTACTATACTATGGCTGTAGTTATTTAAATATGAGTTTCATAATTCTTGTAAAATATTTATCTACTTTCAAAACAGTGCTATATATTGAAATTTAACCTTCATCGAACAGTAATAATAATACTCGTAATAATATTTATAATATTGTGTCGTAATTAAACGCTGCTTCGGTTCCGAAACTGTAATTTAATTTATTGTACTTGATTTTTAATTTTTTTTTTTTTAAATTTAGGAATTATAAAAAGTTTAAAACGAGTGTGTTTTGCATATCATATTGAAATAATAGCGGGCGTAATTGGGCTGTAATTGGGCGGATTCTATTAAAATGAACGAGATTATCGTTTCGAAATTTATTTACATAATGTTATGACTTATGACTTTACGATTGTAGTATAATAGGGTACGTCTATTTAAACTGAAAGTTCAAATTAATTTTTGCGCAATATATTCATTATAAATAGATTATACAGTTGAGAGTAAAATTATAAAATAATAAATAGAAAAAAAAAATTAAATATATCTATACGAGTTCCTAAATTAGAAGAAAAAAAAAAAACCGGAATTTTGCGTCGGGAAAGAAACGTGCGGTATAAAATAACTATACTCCTTCATTTAACATTTTTATTAAATTGTGATACGAGCATTACAGTTTGGTAACAAATCAATTTGTAAATATTAGTCGTGCAAATAGTGACGTTCAATATAATAATCGTTTAATATGTTATATAGTGTCTGCAGTATACTACTAATACAGTGTAGGTGTCTTTAGTATAAAGTTAAGTTAATTTATTTTTGGATCTAATATACTATACACTATATCTAAAGAAAATTCGTCTATTATGTGTATACGGTGTAACTAAACATTCGCACGTTACAGGCCAGATTTTTATTTTAATTTACCGTCACCATAAAACGATAAAACGAAAAAAAGTAATAATAAGTGACAATTATTATTTTATTGTATATATTCTGTATCAAAAGAGAGGAGACCGGTATGCAAGTCTAAAACGTAGACCTTCATAGCGGATATCCCGCTGAATCTTATGCTCGTCAGATTACGACTCAATGACAAACTCAATCTTACATCGTTTTATTCATATCGTGGTTATATTGAATAATACTAAAGGTCGCGATTTTGGTTTAAATTAAAAAAATGCATAATTTTGTAAATATTTGATAGAAACTAAGTAAATTAATACGCCACTGATTAAATATAAAATATTATAACAGTGTATATAGTTTCATTATTCCAATATAACATATGTTTTTAAATTGGTTTCGACCCTATAGTAGGTAACCTACGTGTTTTATAGAAATTTAAAAAGATCACATTATACGTATAATAGATTATACAGGCGATTTATTTTTTCTAAATAGGCGTACCGTGTACAATAGACCGATAAACGCCTACAGAGCCTTCCAAATATTCGTTGCAGTTGCACAGGGTACAATGGTTCTAAAATCTTTGATAATGTGACCCAGGCTTTATATTATGGAAATTCAAATTCGATATACTTAATAGCTTAATAAACGCTACAAATATTCGAAAAACAAAATGAGAAAAAAAAATTCAAAATGTAACTTAAAGAATTTTTTTTATACTATTTCTGTACTACTATTACCCTACTACCCTACACTGTAAGTTTTTTCAAGTAGATCCGTTATTTTTTCGGAATATTATTCATGTCATTGTTTTGAATTAAATGCACAGCATTAATATTATATCTAATAATAAACATATATATATACACACATTTTTTTTTTATTTCCAAGGATCTCAATTATAATTAATAATACATTTTTCATGAATTTTCCTACATTATTATTATATGAATTTGCCCTTCGATAACAATCGTAAAACATAATACTGTATTTTTTATTATCAAATAATCAAAAATAAGTATTATTATTATAAATCTGTTTACAAAATATATTAATTACTACAAGGTCGAGATCAAATGAATCAATGATATAATATTTTATTAAGTAATTACGTTTTTTTTTTTTTTTTTTTTTTTTTTTATGCGTTTTTATATTAATGAACTATTTGATTGTTCGAAATAAAATAATGTAAATAAATAGTCTACTCAGTCAGTGGCTTGATATTAATAAGAGATCACCACAGTTGCTGTCTCAGTTCTGATAGGAAATATAGCAAACTGATAGCAAACATTTATTTATCATGCAAAACAAATGAAAAGTGAAAAGGCCATTGAAATCGGTTTTAGAAATAAAACTTTGTTAATGAAATGAATGTTAATCAATATTTTGGTGGTTTGGCCCATCAAAATAATTGGGATCTTTGTGCATAGTCGATCTAGAGTATATTACAGAATAGGACTTTACGATAAATTTAAGTCTATTTTGAAAATTCTCCTTTGAGAAATAATTTCTTTATAAATACCAATTGTTTATTTTAATAAAATTGTTTGACATATTTTTAACTGTATGAAAAAAAAAAATGTAATAGTATATGCGATTTTGTGCAGGCCAATGTGAACTTTATTGAATGGAAACTAATAAGCTGCGGGAGCTTTACGAACTTACATGTTCAATATAAAGGAACTTAAAATTATTTTCACATCATTGTCTTTAATTGTATTACGGTAGGTAACAATTTAAAAAAAATCATAGGACTGGTTGCAAATAAAATGCTTTGTAATCATAGTAGGTATTTCTGCATGTAACCCGTGACTCGAACACTAATATCTCGTAATATTTATAATTTCTAAATAATTTACGAATTTATCTTTCTGATTCATTCGAAATGAGGACAACCATGTGAATTTATTTCATGCCTGCTCGCATTATATACTAGTCTGTATAAATAACATAGATAATTGCCTATATGCATATTATTGGTTCATAACTATACGAATAAGTAATAACGGTTATTTCGACACACAGCATTGGCAAAATGAGAGCATAATTCAGGGACGAAATTTGAACGGGAAGATAGGTAGTTCTATATTTACTGTAAAATTGCAAAAAAAAAAACAAAATATAAAATTATTAAAAATGTGCAAATTAACAGACTATAGATACATAAGTAATGGGTGTACTAGTACGCTTTACACATGTATCATGTAGCTGTTGCATTATTGTGATATGACTGTTATTGACACGATAAAGTAAATATTATTGCGCAACGAAATCATCCAGTAAGCTGTATGTGCTCACTGTTTCTAATTTTCTGCCGAGCTATGCTGCGCTTAATTTTACTACCAAGCTATCTTAATAATAATAGAAAATTAAAAATATTATGTAGTATATACCAAGTATGGGTATTGGCCGCGATAAATAATTGATATTCACAGGCTGTGGAAATTCCGATAAACATTGTTGAACACAATAATGGAGCCTAAAAATTAGAAAATCGATTAATGTACGTGAATGGCGTAAGAGTTTTAGACGGTGGGCGCTTCAAAAACGTGTGTGTGTGTGTGCCGCTACTAAATAATCTTGTCGCCACGCCACTGTGCCGCTGCTATTATTGCGACGATAGGTAATGCATGTTTAACATAATGATAAATATTAGCTATACCCGTATTTACCGAACAATTGAAAAACACAGCGATATTTTACCGGTAGGTAGGCGCTTTATAATCAATGACAATAATAAATATTAATAGTGTACAATATATTGTTGGCGAGTCGATAAGAGTGATTCGTCACTATTGCTATACAATTGGAGTGAGTCGTCTTAATTCGAAATAAACTATAAAGGAAATAAAGGGAAACTGTTTTTTTTTATTATGTGGTACAGTGTACCATTATAAAAATGCTTAATAAATTTTGAACAAGTTAGAATGTTAAAACTATTAACAGTTATTTTTTAAAAGTTTTGTTTAAAACGACTTTGATTTAAATAAAAAACCACAAAAACTATCAACACTTCTCTAAAAATGTATCCAAAAATGGCTTTTTATTAGAAAAATGACCAAAAGATGGAAAAAAAAATGCATGAAATATACAAAATAAAACTTTCAATTTTGAAATATCGAAAGTTAATATTTCATTTTAGATTTTGAGCGAAACGAGGAATGTGTTGGTTATATAATGGGGCTAATTTTATTTTTTTTTGTAAATAACTTTTCTACCAGAAATTTTACTCCGATTTTCAAATGTAGCACTATTTGTGAAAGGAAATCTGGCTGGGGTAGTACTTAAAGAACTTATTTTTTTGATTTTCCCGAGAGTTTTCGTAATAAATGGGAAAAAACGTAGGAAAAACGGAAAACTTTACGAATTGTATTATTTTTAAACCGTAAATATTACCTCCGGCTTTTTAAAACATGTATAATCGAACTCTCCTCAGAATCATTTTTCGTTGTAAAGATTAATCATTGTATACAGATATATTAAATTATATTATTAAATTCCTCTGTATATTCTATTTTCCCAACTCCTCACCAACAACAGTGGCTCAATTGTCGTGCTCAAATCCGTATCTTTTTTTTTTTTCAACTTTCTAACATATAACTACATAAAATAAAAGAACAGTAACGGTACAAAAAATAATATTTTATTTTCAAGAAACATATTTGTAGTGGTGTATCAACTTTTAAAAGACTATAACGCTCTTAAGTATGAGGGTGGTCCTTATTTTTAAACTTTTATTAAATTTTTTATACCTCTAACCCTCAATGCGGTATCAATACCTAAAAAAATGTTTCATGCGAAATTTTTGAATAATCTATCAATGTTTAAAGTCTAGTGTAAGTATATAATGGTACTATTATTGTCAACAGAAATAATTGAACATGACGTACTATTTTTGGGCTATTTAATTGGCCGTTATAGGACTTCACAATATACTTAGCAAACATTTTGAGGATTTTAAAAATGCCTTTATTTAATCAACTACGTAAATTACATACATTATTTTTATCCTGTAGATAGTATGTTGTTGTTTTTTTTATTTTTTGATTCAAGGCGTTAAATTATATTATTTTCAATTACTTACGTAGTGGCAAAGCTTGGAGTTTAGCAGATTCGATCGTTTTCGCCGCGTAACATGTCAAAAACAAACAAACCATAAATATGGTCGACATTTTAAACTTGATATTTTCGTTTCGTTTTTTGTTTTTTTTTTTTTTTTTATCGTAGGTACGAATAAAATATATTATATTTATATAATTAAACACACATGAACCGCGTGACGGATAACAAGGCAAACATAATATGAAGCCGAGTAGCCGGCAAACGAACAAATGGCAAATTTGTTCGTAATTATTCCTCTTTAACCGCATCCACAGGCCAATTGATTGTTTCGTATTCTTTTTCTTTCTTGTCGTCCTTGATCCAATACTTTGTATAGTGGTATTAGAAGTGTGACGGTGAATATAACATAGTACATATAGTAGGTACCCCATACCCCGGAGGTACGCGAGGCTTTTAATGCACAATTCATATAAAATATAAATTAAACTGTTATATATTGAATAATAGTTAAAGATGGGCCCGTGTATATTCTTTATATTATACTCTATAGTATACTTGTAAAAACTATTAATCAATATTAAAAAAATAATAATAATAATAATAAAAAAGTAAATATTGAAAAAAATACAAATTGATTTAACAAAAATAATATTTTCGATAATTCCTAAAACTCTAAAAAAAAATTTAATAGTTATTAAAATGAATTTATTTCCTTTTTTTTTTGTTTTTAACATTGGGTTCTTTTGCACCAAGCCACCATAGATATAATATAATATTAATAATAACACAATTATTTATGTAACCGAAAAATAACCCATGGTTTAATTCTTTTGTAACACGGGAGGGAATGATTAAGCTAAACCATATTTGAACAGAATATTTAGTACTCAATATTTTTAATTTTTTAAAAAAATTTAAGTCCATATAGATGTGGAATATGTAATAGGCGATTATTGTCCTTATATATTGTTATAATTATAACTAACAAAATTATATATTGATTTGTATTGTATAATTTTTCATTGATTACAAATGTTTGTATTCATTTAAAAAAAAAATAAATTTTATATTCTGAGAAAACCTAACATCTGAGAATTATAATTCGAGAAAATGAAAAACCTGAAAAACTATCTCCCCAGTTTAAATATTCAACCATTTTGGGGCATGTCTTAGAGTTGATTAATTGAGACCAAATTGTGTACAGATTATTTTTACTGGGTGAAGAATAATTGTGGAGGGATTCTGTATATGTAAAAAAATGGGAGATATTGTTTAATATTGTATATATAAATATGTGTGTATATATTTTTATTCATATTATATATATATATTATTATTTAAACATCTTCTCATTAAAAAAAAAAAAAATAAAAATAATAACAAAATGATAATACCCAGTATAAATGTTCAATGAGAAATAATAAAATACGCAGGTCAGTTGCTTTTGGTAATTACAACTATCGAGGTTTAAATAACGGGTGGATAATAATCACCTGTTCTAGGTACGGTCGGTGGTGGGTATTGAAATACTACGACTCCGGTAATCAATATAATGTATCATACTTCCGAGTGTAGGCGGGAGCTGCGAAAATGATAAGTGAAAGAAAAGGTGGCTATAGAAATTACCAGGGGAGATATGAGGACATGTATATAGTGCGTTTTATAGTATTATCCGTATGGTAATAATTTTGTCAATATTTATTTTTTTTTCAATCAGATGTTGTTCAAGTGGGACAAATATGAATAGAATTATTAATTTTTATTTTATCACTTCAACATTTTCAAAAGAATACTATTAAACAGTTATGAATACATATATGATACATTACAACGTTCAGAAAAATAAAGTGGAAAAATAAAAAGTTATTTTTTTCAGTGATTCGGGGATGAAAATAAAAATGTACAAAAAAATGAATATTGACCGAGTAATTAGCCATAAGGATAACACTGTAGGACACTCTGTATAGATGAGGACATGGTTATGGTTATGGGAGATTACGAGACGTGGAAGCAAAACAACAAATGTAGGTAAGTGATATTGATCCCATCTTGCCATTTGAATAGGATGTTTACGACGATAAAGACAAAGTTGATTTATTATGGTAGTACCGATAACAATTTCTATAATAATAATATTGTTTAATTTCATTATGTACCCACATATACATTAATATTTATTCAACTCGTATTGCGCAAAAATCGATACACATTGGTGCGAATAGAGAAGGGTTGGGGAGGGGAGTTAATCCTAAGCAAACTTAAGTTAACTAATTTTAAGCCCTTCTCCCAAGTCAAATGGGTAATAAATATACCTACGAGTACATTGTATTTTTATATCAATATAGGAGGCCGTTTAAGCCTATTCGAGCTAAATGCGCCTATCGCGATATAAATTAAATAAATTGAATCTGATTATTAATTGAACTTCTGGTTTAAACGAACGATATCGGTAATCATGTACATTACCCGAAATCCCTCGAGATTCAAAGAAGAAACCCACGTCGGTAATCGGTATTCCATACCATTCGTAAACAATTTATGTAATTAACTAGTTGTGTGCATGGCATAAATGACGGGTTATAGTAGATTTTATATTTGCTTGCATAGAAATCATCAAAGCGTCAGAGACGGACGGACTTTCATCACGGCTTTTATACATAGGGTATTATGTTGCCTTGACAACTTTTAATACAAATTGTATGGTATTTTTTTTTTAAGGATTACATAGTTATTATTTCACGGGTCATATGCAAAACCTTCAAAAAAAAAAATATATATATATATCTATTTATAAACCCGTAGTAATTAAAAAATAAACCTTGTTTATTATTTTATTCCTTATTTTTCAGAGTATGCAAATAACATAAAAAATACACTGTAAATTAGACATTTTACTTAAAACAGTAAATTTTAATTTAATATAATACCAATACAAAATATTGAATAAAATAATAAAGTAAAAACGAATTATTAAAATGGTTAATAATCGTAAGTAAATAAATATATAAATAAAAAATGTATAATGTATAAAAATAAAATAAATAAATGAATCAATGCGTCGCGTTTTACAATTTGACTGTGATATACCTGATGATGATTGTTAATTCGAAACTGATCGTATAATACACTTATCATAATACTCCAGGCGACGCATTAATTAATTAATTAATTTTATTTTTATACATACATTTTTTATTTATATATTTATTTACTATATTTTACTTTACTTTATTTATAAAATATTGATTGATGAAACACTAACATAAGTTTAGTAAACTTTAAAATATACAACAAGACTTGTATAGATACATGACTCTATTGTAATTGTGTTAGGTACAATTATCAGAAAACACAGTTCAACAGATAAACAATTTGTATATTTTTTAGTGTCTTATCAAATCAATAAAACTGTTATTTACTCAAAAGCCACGAGACACTTTAAAATAATAAAAATGCTCAACCATAAAATTTAATTTGGTCCATTTTGTGAATATATTTCACACAGATAACAAGTACCTTCTCGTATACTTAACTGTAAATGGATAGCACCCTAAGTCATTATTTGACTTTCTGATTAATTTTCTTAGGAATCGAAAACTAAATATAAACCATTATAATCTTATAAATTTGATACATTTTTATAATTTTTAAACATTTTTGATCGACAAGACAATTTTGTATCCATATAAAACCAAATAAAAACTAAAAACCTCAAAAATGTATACAGTAATAGCCGTTTTAATTTCTAGAAAATTGGCGTGAAAACGGCTAATTTCCACAACACATACACATACACGATAAGAAATCACAATTCTATCATTCTTCATTTTCTATTGAATATTAATTGTCTTTACGCCTATTTTTTTATGAATTAAAGCTACTATAACTAATAAACTATTAATTGGATATGAATATATAACACATTGCAACTTGTAGAATAGGTTATATATTTTATAAAATTGGTATTTTGAAAATTTTAATAATTGAAAAAATAAAAAGTTAATTTTTCTCTACATACGTGTCCCCCTCGTACAAAACCTGATTGAAAAAAAAAATGAATATTGACATAGTTATTAGAAAAAACGATAACACTATAAGAAACCCAAAATCGGAAGGATTCATAGTGGGCGTCCGGGAATTGGGCCAAAATGAACCTTTTTTAAAAAAGATATATGGTAATTAGGGCATTCAAATTTTACATTTATAGCAGATAATTGGGCCACTATATTTTAAACTTTGATACATTTTAGATTTGACAAAAGGAAAGCCGCTATTTAACACCACTATTTTAAATCATAATAATATTTCTTTCCACGATTAAAAATTTAAATTGCCTATGTTCGTTGTAATCAATTTATGTTGACGGCAATTTTGAATGCTGTGCAAAGCAATTTGTATAACAATACTTAAAAAAATTAATAATTATTTGATTAATTTTCTATTGTATTTTATATTAGATATATATTTTAATATATTTAAAATTATATATTTTTGTGTTACACATTTGTGGCCCAATACCCGGGTAATAAAATGTACAAAAATATTATTTACGAAGTAGGTAGACAAAATGTGGCCCGATTCCCGACCGTCCAGAAGATATTTTTTACTGGAGATATTTTGACTTTTTAAATATTTTTTAGTGATTTTTTCATGATTTTTTCGGGCGATTTTCTGCGGATTCCAGGTACATATAAATCCATTCTCTACCTATACACATTCCAGGCGAGCTTTTTATTTTTGGATAACCAAACCTAACCGGGCAACACTGGGTAACGGATAGCTAATTATATATTTTAACTGTAATATAGAATCAATTTTTTTTTCATTGTTTGGTTCAAAACCTTTAGTTTCGATAATTTAAAACAAATTGTTTTTTTTTTTTTTTTATTTTATTTAAGTACACCCGCAATGTGCAAGTCTATCTAAATCTGTGTATGCACCTATATTATAGTATGCAAGGTTGAGAATTATAATTTTTTTCTATATTTTCAACTGTATTAAATGCAAACAAACATTAGAAAACTAATTATTTTTCCTTGGTGTTTATAATAATAGAAACGAGTGTGTGGAGAGAAATACCAAGGCCATATACCTACTTAGATATTAGAATACCATATGTAAATGTACGGAATATATTATATACATTGTACACATATATATATATTATATTTTATCAACGCAAACATTTAATTCGTATGATATAATTTTCTTAACTCCAAAAATCGTTTGAAAACGAAGGTAATAATATGATGGACGTA